GGGGGGTCAAAAAAAAGACGGGCCCGTTGTGGTCTGCTGCACAGTTGTTCGTGAGGTGCGGGGGCAGGATGTGCAAGAGGTAGCTGGCACGAGGGGTGTCGCAAGAGTGGAGTGGCAGCCAAGCGGCTTGCAAGTCAAGTTGGGAGATGCGCTGGGTAAGCGGTCTGCTCAATGTGATTGCTCCGCGATGGCGGGCGACGAGGGCAAGGTGGCGGAGGGATGTGGAGGGGTCATCCCAGCCCGGTGGGTCCTTGGGACCGGTCACCTACCCAGACGTCCAGACGCTTATCGGCACCACCGCCGAGGTCGGCGACTTCCGGCGGTTGCTCCCCAACTGCATTCCAGAAGCCCTGCCCCCCTGAAGACGGATCCGCGCGCGATCCCGTGTAGCATCGTATCAGGAACTTTGGAACCCGCTCAGGCAAGGAGACGATGTCATCGAGGACAGCGAGAAGACGGCCTCACCGTTCTTGAAGTTGACGCTGGTCGCAGAGCGTGTTATGCTGCGCAAAGCCATCAACAAGGGTCGCCAGGTTCGCCGCCTTCACCCTGACGCATTTGTCGTCATCCTGCCACGTTTAAGTGCACGGAAAGGAAGAGGGGCGGAGCTGGTGTGTCGCATGCAAGGCCCGAAGCATCGCGACATATCGCGACACGCGCCCTGCACGGTCGAACGTGCTGACGGCATGGACTGAGAGGAGGGTTGCGCGCGGGATCGCGCGGGCATGCTTCAGTGGAAGCGCGGAGTATAACTAACGGACTGTGAGACGAGCACATGCGCCGAAGATCCGTCCCGATCCACTCCGAATGTCAGGCCAAAAAATCTGGGCTAAGTAAGTCGCAAGGACCCTGGCCAGCTGCGAAGTCGGTGTATGCCTTGGAGGGAAGGCTGTGCTGGAACTGAAGACCTTCGTGAACCCAGTGACCATTCGTCTTGTACTCCTCAGTTTGGCGGCGACCGAGTGGTGACGAGTTTTGGAAAGCGAATGTGGAGAAGCTAGTGTGTCACTTGGACTTGCTGAGCGAGGTCGGGAGGGATTAGGACTCCTTCGACGGCCGAGAAGACCGAACGAGAGAAGTCCATCCCGTTCAAGCTGTGCACTGGGAGTTGGTCGAAAGCAACCCTGATGTCAAAGGCATCTGGCTTGAAAAGCCTATGGAACGGTGGAGCTACGAAGTCGGGTCGCTCAAGGAAGGTCGGCTGAGGAACGAATCAAGAATCCTTGTCACCTTTCATGGGCGAAGGAGAAGGTTGTGTCAGAGCGCCTCTCCGCTCCCGAAGCTCCAGAGCGAGAAATGGAGACCAGGTATCGGATTCGCCTCGCTCCTCAGGAGACTGTGCGGAAAAAGATCCAGCGTTGTCCAAGGTGGTCGTGCGCAACGGATCACATCGCCAATAACATTGCTAACACGCACTTGCCCGGTGACGTAGCGAAACGAGCTCGAATCCAACAGCTTCGCCCGCTCTCTTGCCGCTTCTGCGAAGGCACGCAGATTGGAAGGAACAACAGGTTGGACAAACAGCAACGCAATGGAAGAGTCGGATCCTGCTCGAAGCGCAGACGGGCGTGTGGCATCATATACGAGCGAAATATGCCACGTACTGGCGCAGCTCTGTCCGCGAAACGAGCGCAGAATATCTCCGATCAGGAGCGGAAATGCGCTTTCGAAAAAGTTGAGCGGATCGGGAGACATCTCAGAATCTCTGCGACACCCAAGCAGAATTTCAGAATCAGGGTGACATGGGTGGCCGTCGGCGGACGTACCGTCATACCGCTGGAGCAGAGCACAGATGCAGCGAAGTTGCATTCCCCGAGTCTACTTGGATTTGCGCATGGTCACAAACCCTCATGCATATCGGGGCTGGTTTTAAGTTAATGGTGTCTGAAGTCTGAAGAAAGCACCACTAGGTCGGTGTCCCGACTTTTTCAAAGCTCACGATGGACATGCGGAAAAGGCATTGAACTTGACCATCAATACTCCGAGAAATCGTGGCACGGTGTTAATCATCTTGCAGTGTCAACATCGTTGACTTGCGCTGCGCTCTAAATGGTTGCCGTGAGAGGCCACGGACGTAGACAAGCTCTTCAATGTCAACTTCGAGAAAGTAAAAAGCAGAGAGTGAGAGAGAGAGAGAGACACTTGTGACTTGTGACCTATGCACTACAACATGTGCAGACAAATCTCAGATTTGCCACTTTGCATCCTGCACATGCCTTGCGTGTTGTTGCGAGCCTCGTCACCTACACTCTGATTTTGAGCTACTTGCAACTTGCAACTCCACGAAGCGCGGCTGTCCAAAGGCGTCGCATACCTCACTGAATGTAACAGCAAAAGGCTTGCCGTGGCGCAAGCTGCTGTGCCCACAATAAGCAGCAGCCACTACGAGCCCCACAACAAGCAAGCAAACAAGTCAAACACGAACGTATTAACAACGCAGAAGAACAAACAAACGGCTGGACAGATTCTGAGCTACAGGGAGTGTGCATCTCCTGGCAGGTGCAAACAATGAACCAAAGGCAAACTCGTTTGCTCTGTGGTCTGATTCGCACAAGGACGAATTATGGCAGTCTTGGCCGCCGGCTGTGTCCAGCAAGTCGAGGCCCTCAGCATTGAGCCGAAGTCACCATTGGCCACTGTTGCCAAGGCCTACAAGCAGCACGTGATGGCACTTCGGGCCTCCATGGACGCAAACAGGCTGGAATGGGACTCCTGTCTGCAGAATGCGTGAGTCGTGTCATGTCGTGTCTTATGTCGGTTCGGACTTGGCCTCGTCGGACCTCTCGAAGAGTGCCGGATGCGTATGATGCACTTCCAAATATATGCGAGCACCGGGCAAGCCAACTCGCCGCGCACTACGAAGAACTTCGGCGATAACAGAAAGGCCATCAGGGCCACCATCGAGAGCGCCGTGATCTTCAAACTCGCGAACATCAACTTGTAAGCCAGGAATTTCATGGCTCGGAATGTAAGGTGGGTTGGACACAATAAGATCGAAAGCTCTGCTGGACATGCTTGCCCAATCTTTCGAGGAGGCATGCCGAACTTCCAACCTATTCTCCACGCCACACCTGGCCGCATTGGCATGTGTTAGGGCGACGGCATCTTCCGAAGGGTCCACAGCAACGGCTGTGGCCATGGGGAAAGCATGGAGCAAAGAAAGCACAATAGCTCCGGATCCAGAGCCAAGATCAACCAAGCGCCGGGGGTGGCAGTTGCCATAGTGCTTGATAATCCGATCCACAAGCTCCTCTGTTTCAGGCCTGGGTATCAATACTGGTGGCCGGACCAAAAGCTCCATGGGGAGTGGATGAAAAGGCCAGCTCCCGAGTATGTACTGTACAGGCTCACCTTTGCCGCGGCGTTGCACCCAGTTCTTGAAAACTTTCCTCCAGTCTGCAGTGGAGCTGCGCCGCAAATTTTCCAAGAACCATCTCACAGAGGCTGCAGCCTCCTCTTTCTGCAAACCTGATGGATCGAGAAAGTGGGATCTCTTAGTTCCCTGAAGGCAAGGACGCGCCTGCAGCTTCTAGGAACACCCGTGCAGCTTGTGCTTCCGCGGCTTCTGCTATTGCCTCAAAGCTCTTGCTCAACTGCCTAGTGGTGGTGCCTTGCAGGTCTACCGTTTCACCAGGAGTCCATGGGCCACGGGCACGGGTCAAACAACATATTGCTGGCGATATCCTTTCGATTCTGTAGGCCTCGCTGCGCTTCTCTCCCAAGCTTTTGCATGCAGCTCGAAAGCTCCGCAGACCTACGGTCAATGAGGGTGTCAAGCGCATGGCACTGCTTGGCGTTATCCTGCCTCTGCGGGCAGACAAAACAAACAGAATGCACGACGCCGTCAATCTCTGCGGCGGAGGATTCCTGGGCAGCTGGCCCGGCATTCTTCGCCCGCTCTCGTGTCACCATTTTCACAACTAAGGCAGCAGGCCAGGAGTTATCACTTCTCAAAGCTGCCTCATCTTACAAGGACCAGCTTGCAATGTGCGATTTGCAGGTACAATCCTGCCTTGATGCAGGGTTGGCCTGCCAGCAAGTGTGGGCTTCTCCATCGCAGGGCCTGCAAACCAAGACAAGAAATTTCCTTCTGCTTTGTCAAACCTCGTATGTAGGCTTTGTTTCATACCAGACGCAATCTTCTTGCCAGGGTCAGTTAATAGGGCACCGGTTCAGAGAACCCAACAGGTCAGGGCACAAACGGAATGACTTCCAAACTCCCTCTTTGGCTAGCCGCAAGTGCTGCAATGCACGAATGAAAGACATCGAACTTTGGGTGATTCGGGCAAACTACGATTCTGACGATGCGTTGCTAGCCCGCATCATCTTAAAACTGAAAAATGACGCACAGTGTTTTCCCGGAGCAACCATGCCCTGGAAAGCCAGGAGTGCTGACAATATCTGACAATCCTATGCACATGCACCTTGAACTAACAACCTCCCGATACGATACCAATGCAAATGCTGTTGCAACTCAATACTGGCACTAAGAAGCTGTTGCAAGAGCACCTCAGGAAAAATGCTCCGGCCAAACATGCTCAATGACAGTTGCTGTTCATGTGCGTGAGTGCGATTGCACTATGTCATCATGGCAGTCATGTGTGTATCTAGGTCGGCTCCTGCAAGTGAAACCTTATGTCGATTCAGCCGTCGCAGATTTCAGCAACAAGCAGACCCTCGACCGATGTCAAACACAGTAGTTCTTGAAAATAGGTCACACATGGCCACACTTTACGACGCTGGGTGCACTTGACGAGGGCACAAAAGTTGCAGTAGTTGCAGCGGGTCGTTTCGCAAGCTGCATGTTCGACGCACGAAGGACACCTTTGCATCCCAGACAAGGTGAGACACATTAAACAACGGACAATAACGTGGAAGTTCGGCGTGCTTCGCAGATCCCCCCGCTCACTGCCAAGATTCACCGCGCCGTCGTTTTGCACGTTCCTGCAACGCAATGTACAGTGGAACTGATTGATTGACTGACAAGCATGCGTGGAGCAACAACTATTCTATCCTCGTCTGCATGTTCGCGTTTGCATCATTTTGCATCCAGAACTTCTTTGTGTTCACTCACTTCCAAATGGATTATTGATGATTATTGACGCGAAGGTCGACCGATCCCGCTTGTCAATGCATGTCAATGCATTGACCCGGTGTTCTCGGCAAAAATGGCACCTGACCGTAACCATGCAACACTGGCACCCAGCCATACAACACTGACTCAATGCTATTCAATGCTTTTTGTTCATAGTTTTAAGAATCCAAACCAGCATTACGATGATGTAAGATTCACAATCATGTTCCTTTGGCTCCCTGCTGTTCCCACTGAAGGGGCTTAGCTTCCTTCATCAAAGTTGGTCACCGGAGCCTTTGCTCCTATCCACACTTTGTGCGAATCTCTCCTGGAAACGAGGTGCGACAGACACACACACACACACACACAAACAAACAAACAAACGGACACTGCTACCGACCCGAGAATGTCCGGATGTCTTCCGAGTGCATTGCGCGCATCTTCCACTTAATAATACTGACTCGAAAGAGCGTCAAGTCTCCTCACGGCGCAAACCACTGTGCCGCAACAATGTTTACAGCAGAGCGACATAGCTAAATGGATGAAGAACCTGTAAAGTGTACTCCTGATGGCTTGGGATCCTAAACAGCTGTGCAAGGGTTCTTGGCCATGCCTCTGGCCATCGCGAATGCACGTACGCGGATTTGGCATCCAGAATAAAAATCACGAGCACGATTTGGGGGCGCCATCGACTAAGCTCCGAAACCCCCTTGCAGATGAAAACTCAAGATTGCAATCTTCTCTGGAACCTGGTATCGGGGGAGCGCACGCACTTGGAACGACCCTCGATACAGCCGAAGCTATAACATGGGTCAACAAGTTGACAACCTTCTTCGCATCGCTGATCTGGCGACTGCGAAACAACGAGATTCTTAAGGGTAATCTTCGCTGGCGATTTGCAGGTACGTATAGAATGCGTCGTTTCTCTCTATCATTGTGGAAAGAGGGCGTCTTCGTGACACGGTGAAATGAAAGGGTGATGCAAAACAAAGGCTGGAACAAACGGACGAATGGAATCAATCGTCTGTACCAAAAGTGGCTAACAATCAGTTTTGAACTGCAACAGTGAGAAATGGAAGGGCAAGAAGAGAGTCGTCTCACGGTTCAAGTCTTGGCCTTTAAGGGGAAAACAAGGGGAAACCAACTTTTTGGCACAGCCTGTCTTCAGTCCCTTGCCAGGTTTGCCGGCATCCACATTTGTAATACAAACGAGTACGAGAATGTTGTAGTAGCAGAGCCCAAACAAATTCCTCAAAAGCGCGTGCAAAGTGCCGTTTCGACATTCCCGCCATATTAGTCAAAACTCCCGCAGTTGTTGCGCCTTAGGACCATTTTTTTGGTTCATGCCTACAAAAGCCTACATACATCTACAATATTCTCTAATCTGCATTAGGCGCCAAGCGGTGTACAACAGTATACAGCAAGCATGCATGTGAATGTGGGGTGAGCGTTGCAATGCGTTGCATGTATGCCAAAGTCACACGCATCTCGCGATGAGGCCGACGGTGAGGAACAGCAGTGGCACGATGGATCCCGCCGTCTTCGTGGCCACCCAGTTGGGGTGGTAGACGGAACAGGCCGCTCTGATTCACCGGACAGAACGATGGCTGTCGGCTCCATGGATCTAGTTCTCACCTCCCACGGCGATCAAAATAATGAAGCGATCGCTGCAAAATGGCCACGGAGTAATGACCATCGTAAAGCATGTCTTTCATGTCTGTCCTCCCCTCTGGGTCCGTGTTGGGGATTCTTCCTTGCAGGTCTGTGGTCGAGGACCCCGGAAGCGGCACTAAGGCATGAGGTGGGGAAGGTCGCCTCATCTTAAGCCGACGAGCACCTCGATCATCAGCAGGTTAGGACCAACACGGAGTGACAGTGCCAGGCAGCCAGGGGGCTGCGGGAGTACGGTGTACTCCGGGCGCCGCTCTCGCCAGGGCGACGCCAGCAGCCGGCATGATGATTCGCAACGGCTTGGCTACCTTCCACCATCCACGCAGCTCACGGCAGCCCCGGGGGCGGCGGAGTAGGGTCCACTCCAGATGCCGCTCTCCGCAGGCGGACAGCGGCTGCAGGCATCGGCGAGCGATTCGATGGGTCGGGAGGCGTCGGCCGGAAGTGCGAAGTCGCAGGGCGAGTGGTGCTCGCGGGACCTGTGACCGACATATGCCCGGCACGGCAGATCTCGCACGGCGGCAGTGTTTTGTGGCGCTTCGTCCTCGCTTTCGTCGTTTCATGTTGTTGTTGTTGTTGTTGCGGCTGTTGTTGCTTTTTGTTGCTGTTGCTGGTCGTTGTGTTGCTGGGGCTGGCGCTTAGGCTTTGCGCCGGAGGGGCCGCGCTTTTGTTAGGCCAGGCTCGTGCCTCACCTCACCTCATCTCTGTCCGCCGATCGGTCAGACTGAACTTGTAATTTCCCGCCAGATTGCCAACCAGATACAGGTAGCTAATTAACGGTACAAAGATTCGGCGTCACCGACACAAGCCGTGCCTTTGCAAGGAGAGCACAGGCTGGATCAAACAGTCGGCTCTCCAGGCCGACATGCCGACCTTGAGATGTCCAGGTTGAGGGTGCGCTGCGAACTGAGTGCAGACTGAGACTTCTGCTGTATGCTATCTCGAAAAACTGGTCCATTGCTGGCATGACCTTAATGACGGATTCTGAGACATTGCAGGAATGCAACGAAGACTGACCACGGGGAGGGGGCCTTGCCGCGTAGCTTCGACGCTTCCTCGACTTGGGTCAGAAGAGCCCATTTAGCATCATTTAGCCCACGAGACTTTGACAGATCAAGAGACCTTGTCTGCAGCAGTCAGCCATTCCAGGAACGTGCTCTGGCGCAAGTGCTGCAACGCCTTCCAGTGCCGAGTCGAAGTACCCCAAATGTTTCTGTCAGCGTCAGCGACAAGGCGCCTGCAGCAAGCAAAACGTGAGCACTCCTTGTTGACTGCCGTTCAGGTAAGCTTCAATTGCAGACTGGCCCGGACCTAGGCGAGGTCACGCGGCTGGCACCTAAGACCTCTGGGTGCCTTGTGATTGTACGAGAAGGGCGGCCACCGGAAGCAGCGATGCAAAAGACTGCCAAGCCTTGGAATGTTGTGAACACCATATGAGGCAGTGACGACCAGCTTGCCCACCTTCGTCAAGAGGCTTCCTCTCGTCCGGCAACAGCTGCCCCAGCAATGTCCAGAATGACCTGACCGATGCGAACGCGAGACAAAGCGAGGCCACCAAAACCTTCCAGCCACTGTTGTGACATGCTGCCTTCTGACCACTCGCGACACGCGCCGAGGCAACGCATTCACCTTTGATAGATTTTGATAGCACAAGAGCGTTATAGCTCTAGAGTCTATAAAGAGCGACTGCCAGCTAGGCTTCAGATGGCTTCAGAATCTGACATGCTGATGCTGTGACCATGCGTTCTCATCATAAGGTTGGTCCTGCTGTCAGCGGCGTGCATTGTCCGTGCGTCTGCGATCGCAATCGAGGTTGCAGGCCTGAAGCGTAGGTCCATTTCGCAGCTCATGGAACGGATGCTGCATGCTGCGCTTGATAGGTGCCTGTCGGAGAACAACAATGGAACATATGGGCAGCCATGAACATGAGAGACGTGCGACAGGATGCGGCCCATGTGCCCGAACGGGAGGTCCCATGAGTGATGCATCAAGAATCACGGTCAACATCACACCAGCAGGCCTGCTCGAAGCTTCGCAGGAAACAAAGTTGCGACTCAAGTTCGATCGGGGGCCAGGCAAGCGTGCAAAGCAGCGGTGAAGGTCGTGGTCCGTGATGACATAGTACCTCTGCTCGGGGACTTGTAGGTGCAAGCTTCCGCCGCTCATTCCGCACTTCGTCGCACGTCATGCTGCCTTCCCAGTCCAGAGGACACAGCGCCTTGTGGCTTTTGGCAGCTGATTGAAATTGGAATTCACTTCGTGCCTGCCTCTTCGACTGGGTATCCACCGGCAAAGCCCTGGACCTCACAACTGATCGCCCCCTCTTCTAGTAGTGCACACTGTTGATGCCATTCCGACGATCTCTCTCAGCCGTGAGCCTGTGCTGCTCGCCCACAGTAAATCAATGTCAAGCAGTCGCCCTTGCCCGTTGGCAAAACTGACCGAAGCCATGAATCCTCGTTTCTCTCGCCTTTGAAGCCTCGGCTGTAAGCCAGTCCAGGCCTTGCAGAATGTTCTCCTGCAAATTCTGACATCTGCTCTCCGCACACGTCTCCCTCTCTGTCCCATCCTTGGTCGGAACGGAATAGCTGCCATCTTCCTCAGCTCCCACTACCTCACCGCTCGGGTACCTACATCGCACAGCTGAGCATCCTGAATCCAGCATTGCGCACCGGGGGAACTCGTCGACCATCACCCACGTGTCGTGAACGCCGAAGCCCTCAAGTGCCTTTTTTGTCGAATGCCCTAGTGAAGCGAGATGCGAGACGAGAACACACACCGCCTTTTCCCAGCGAAGAGCATCGTTCACTGCCCCATGGAGTTCCGCATCCGATCCTCCGAATCACATAGCTCTTTGGGGCACACTCGATTCCGCCCACTCTGCCTGCATAGTTGATGCCGACAACCAAAGCCTGGCTCGCCAGGCTCGCATCACGTTACAAAGATGGATGAGCCTTCTCACAAGTCGCCACTTCAATTCCTATCTTTGCATGGCCCATGATGGCGATGGACCCACCCGTTCCGTTGATCTGTCGACAGAAGCTTTCGTGCGAGGAGCCCAAAGGCAATGCAATCAAAAACGAGCTTCGAAGACACCTTCGCCAGACTCCCAATCACTTACAAGCAGACCGGGAGGTTGTGGGCATCGTTCGCGCAGGCCAGGATGGGTATTGGGATCGTGTAGCCAGAACCTCATAGTACATCCTTTTTTTGTGCCGCGGCAATGGAACACCACCCAAGAGGTGGAAATGGAAGCATCCTCTATCGGCTTTACTGACAGGATGCTGTCAGGTTGGCTGCATTTTGCAGCAACCTTTTGTCTATATTTACGATCTAGGGGGTTTCACCAATAGCGCAGGCCGTACAGAGCAGCCACTGCTTGCTGACACGAAGCAAAAGCCTTGCGACGTATATCGCAGCGGCTTAGAAAGCTCCGACACTGGGCCATGATGGCCCTGTCTCTCTGCAGTGACATTCCACGAGGAAACAATTGTTGGATCTTAGGAGTCAGTTCAAAACATCATCGGTCACTCGCAAAAGATAACATCAGAACTATATGAGTTCGAAACGGCAAATCAAGGCAGGATTTCCATCCTGCATTTCGCCACTACTGCTGAGAAGCGGCACACCTCGCCGGATTCGCATCCCAGAAGCGTGCCCACGCGAAGGAAAGATTCAGTGAGGCTAATTCCTCCAAGCAGCGGCGCCATCCAGGCTTCAGCTCTGCAAGTGGGAATGCATACTGGCCTGGGTGTCGAAGGTTGCTACTTGCGAGTGAATTGTGCACAGGAGGAGTGCGACAGGACGCGTAGGTCGCCAGCCAAGAAGATCATCGAAATCAACATCTTGATCCCAAGCCATCAGCATCATGACTGCAAGCGCAGCATCCGTGATATCCTGACATAATAAGACAGACAGCATCGGGTCAAGATCTGCGGGGTATTTCTTGGGAATCGCCAGCCAAGCCACGAACTCGAAGCGTTGGTTCCATATAGGCTGGGCCTCTCAGCGTAGCGGAGCAGCGGAGCGGAAACTTTGGTTCGAAGGCGGCCTTGCTACCAGTTCGTGCTCTTGCGGTGTACACCGAGGTCGTTTCGATCTTGCCTTCAGTCTCTTGCAAGCAAACCGGCTCTCAATGCTAGGGGCTGCTGAGGGCCAAGAGTCGGTCAGCAGCACTTCCTGCAATTTCGACACCTCACTCAAAAAACATCAGCCTGCGAACTCATTCGTCTCACGCGAGGACCCTGCACACATAGGAATCTGGAGGCCCGATCAGGTCGAAATCCCGAAAAGCCTCTCACGGCAAACTTGTACGTGCCGGGAGAGCATAAGCCAACGACACTGGTGTCAATGTTCCTCATAGTTCGTGGCCTCCCAACCATCTCCGCCAAGCACAGTAACGGCTAACCTTGGTTATTGGTTGGTTGTTGAGCATAAGGTCTGAGGATGCCTGAGGCATAGCATGGCACAAGAGCAATATGTCAGGAGCCTGTGTGCTTCTGGCTTCTCGTGCCGTCCAAGCAGGTGCGACGGCTTTGGAATATACCCGCAGCCTCCATTCCCTGCAGGCCCGGGCGCTCAACAAGCAATGCCCTCTCCCTCGAAAAGGATCACTAAGAAACATTTCATTGCATCTCATAGCCTCATCACCGTGCTCTCTCAACATCCCTCTGACTCATTCTGGCTGCGCCTCGAAACTTGCCGGCATTGAGCCAGGCAGCATGTGGATGGAAGAAAATGCCTGGCAATCGGAATCATGCTGCAACAACGTGTAGCAGTTCCTGCACGAAAGTGAGTTCATCCGTGTTCATATCGAAGCAATTCAATCCGAAGCAAGCACACGCCGCGACAATGGAGGCATGCCACTCTTCTGGCCATTCAGCGCCACGAGCTGACACCCAGCTTCCCATGCATCCTCATATCTAAGTGACGGCCAATCTGAAAGCAGGAAACGAGTGCCCGATCCACCAAAACATGCGACGAAGGAATTCGTCCTGGGGGTCAAAGTTTGACGAGTCAACACGATAACCGGCCGGATATATCCGGGCGATGTGCCGGGATGTATACTGTCGCATGGCCTTGAGGCAAGTCATGACACCATTGACAGTGATAGCAGCTGCTACGTATTCAATTTGCTAACCGACCTTGCGCCTATGACACCCCGGTCAATCATGCAATATAGCGGCTTCGATGCCAAATTTCCTCAGATGATGCCGTGTTCAAAGGTTGGTATATGTAGCACCAATTCGTTGCCCAATTCATTCAGGCATCGAAAGGATCTGCGAAAGCTTTATTTCGGAGAAAGAGGAACTTGTATACGCAGAATCCTCTGCACTGAACTTGAAGCCGTGGAACTTTACCTGAGGCTCAACTGCATACTACACCGCAGCAGGCCGAGTGCTCCGGACTGGCGAAGGATGGTTTGCTCTTCACGCACATGCACAATTGAAGAATCAAACGAGACATGTGGAACCTCTGGAGGTGACTTAGATCTGCTCATTCGATTCCACCACCAATGGATACCCATGGCTCTCTACATTCCAATACTCTACGCAAATGGCGGCTCGCCAAGCTAGTCAACGAAATTCAACCGCTCGGTAAACAAGAGATGCAGAGATCCGATCTTGGATCCGAGAGACGTTCCCAATCGAGATAAGCCTCAGCGTGAGGATGGCTTTGCTTCAGCTTGGCACGATGTTCGTCCGTCCAGGCAGTCCGAGTATGTCCGAGTGCAAGCAAGGAGCTCGTGAAGCTCAGCTACCCTCACGGGCTGCCGTCGTGGTTCCAGAGACTCAGTACAGGCTTGACAGCTATGGTCCGTGGCACAGATTGGCCCAGTTCGCATGCCCCCTTTGCAATACGCTGCCGATGTGGAGATGGAAACTTGCTCCAAAAATCTAACATTAACCGACAGCCGATGGCAGCAATGATTCTATACATTCAAGCCAAGCATCGTTGGAATCCTCCAGTCGCCACGACCTTGCAGGTAAGAAGTGCTCGACTGTCTGTGCACAGTGCTAAAACAAGAATCCGCTCAACATGAGCATTTGGTAGCCGTTGAAGCTTCGTGGACGTGGGCTGCGCTGTCTGGTCAGGGGACTTATCTCGGAGTAGGAAGCGGTCGTGAAGCAATCCTGGAGATGGCCAGTTTTCTGTGCCAGAAGGTACCTTCCGGGCAAGCAAGCGAGGACCCGGAGCCCCGAGATGATGAGCAAACCGAGGGCAGGGGCACATAGAGCGCATCTCCGAGAACGCGCTGAAGAAGACCAGCACATTCCCTGACAAGCATATGAGAGACTCAAGCCGCTTAAGCTTGCAAGCGGAGCTCTGTCAAAGCAGCCGAATCTACCAAGTGCCATGTCGAGTGAGGGCTGTGGAGCAGAACTGTCATTCGGTACAGCACTGCACGGCCTTCCGCGCATACTTCGGTGGTGTGTGGGAGCATACAGAACAGAAGTTGCTGCTGTTTTCTCATGTTTGCTCCCCTTTCCAAGCTTGACACCTGTCTGTGCACCTGCGCAAGTGACTCCGTGTGTCCTGCATCGTACAAAACCGATCTCGTTCGGGCAGCCCTCATCCGTTATGATTTAACCATCCTAGCAGTTGGTAATGACTCTACGGAAGTGGCCTTTGACCTTCTGGAGACAAGTAATTCTCCAAGGTGATGATGACAGGGCAGTGGGATGTCTCGAAAGCTGCCTCCCGAATCGCCTGACGGCAGGCTGAAAACCGTATTCGTATTCTGCGCGAATGCTTAGACAGAGAATGCCGAACCTCTAGGCAGGCTTCGAATAAAACGGCAGTTGTGGCAGTGCCGCCATGGAGAACGCAGGGGCCTCGGCCAAGGCTACGGCAGAATGAGATTGGCCCAGGGGCCGTCCAGGCATGCAATGCCGATGCGAGCCTTGCATGCCGTACTTGGCTCCATCATATACCTCAGCTTCTGAAAAGCATTCGCAGAGATATCGCGAAGCATTGCCTGACTTCAATGAGGCACATCAAGCTCCACGACGCGACAGCCATTGCGGAGCAGACTGGAGATTGCAAGTGCGGAAGATGTGCTCGTGAGTTGATTGCCCTGGACAGCTGCAGACCGTACTGCATGATAGAAACCCTGTAGCAGAGCAAATTCGGCGGCCTGCAAGTACGAGTTGTGGCTGGAATTGACCCAGTACCTTGGCAGAAGCTGGCACATGTGGCATTGCGTAATGAGTGTAGTGGATCTCCCACATCACGAGAGTTTCTCGCCCTCCCCAAAGCCAATGAAGTCGGCCAGTGAAAGCAGTGAGTCCAGGGACAGGTGCACAAAGGGGGGTCGTGCGTCCCGGCAGCATGCCAATTTGTCCTTTTGGCTTTTGTGCACTTTCATTACAGGTATCTGGGACGGAAACGCAGTTGAGCTCCAACCCCCTCGTCTTGGATCTGCTTTGTTTGCATCATCAAAAACAAGGCGGGGGGGTCATGCAGCCTTCGTTTCATTCAGGCATGTCAGTTCTGCACCACTGGCACAGTTCGTTCATCTTCGCTCAAGACTTGAAGAACGACTACCAGGTACCAAGCTCTCGCCGAGGCAGGCATGCTAATGCAGCGAAACCAGCCAAGCTGAACAAGCGAAGTCTTGTCTTGTCATCTCATACCGGGTCGCTCAGACAATGGGCGATCTAGCTCGGCGATCTCCTCCGAGACATGTGGCAGATTGGAGTCCTCAAGCCCAGGTCATGGCATGGACGTGGGTGCCCGAACATGGAAAGCCGCCAACCAATATGCCGAGCGTTGTGTGTGGGAACATGACTTGAAGTTGCTCAGTCGAGCCGACAAATGTCTATCTGTCATGTTGCTCTTCAGGATCTGCTTCCATTGCCCGTTGCATCCCCCGTCTCTGCAGGTGGAACGCTACTTGGCTTTTGGTATCTTCCGGGATGTGGCAGCTCACTCCTGCTCGTTTGCATTGAGGGCACGAGTGATATTCTTCTCCAGCCCTCAGTGCATCTCAGTGCCGTGGCAAAAAGACCAGCCATGAAAGTTGTTACACGGATGATGCACGAGGCTGAGACGGAAATCGCTGGTGCAATGTGCTTTCTCTACAGTAGAGCGGCCGATCCGGGGAAACATTCGCAGAGACGGTTTGTCCCATGATGCACAAACGTCAATGAGCACCATACACTTCGTGCAGTACAGCGCTGCAAGTCCTCCAGCACATCTTTCAGGAGGTCGTGCCGCTGCCGAAGCAATGTCGCACCCGTTCCTGCATCCACCGATTATGCAATTCAACAGCAGAACAAAAACAAGTCACAAGCTGCGGCCAACACTGCTTGCATAGGACGAGGCTCCGCACGTCTTCACGGGCCGCTGCGGCATAAGCTCATTCTGCACATGTCGGTACCAAGCCGCTGCGTCTACGGACCTCAGTGTTGGGGATCCAGGGCAAACCCTTTGCATCTGACCAAAACCCGACGGAAAGGTGAGGCATCTGCCCATCTGCAGCCAAGTAGTCTCCGAAAATGGCCTGTCGGCGGAACTAAACAAAGCACGGCACTTCCTCTACAAACCATGACACTGTCGCGTGGTGCTGCTGGAATGGACATCGGGATGGCTTTGCTGTCGCAGAGGTGTGAAAATCAGTTTTTCGGAGGTCACTTCAGTTTACTGCATGCTTTGAGAAACGCTCTTGACTGCGAAGCTGTCTGCACATGTCTGAGTTTTGTCCGAAACCTTTGCTTCCACGCGGTTTTCAACTGTTTTGAGCTGCCCTCCAGTGCCATCCCGACATGGAGTGTGGCCAACTCCTTCGGGCTCCTTCGTGTGGTGCGGGGGGTCGGGATTGAAATGGGTGGCATACCTGTTTCTATTTCTTTATAGGTTGGGGGTGGTTGGAGGACGGTCGTGCACAATCTTGTCTGACACACGCACTCGCTCAGAATCGGATCTTTTTGCAGCGGCCCCTGCCGACGCCGTTTGCGAGCTGTGCTGTAGTTGTGCTGTGCAACGTCGATGCTGGTACCTCCTGTGGTGTGTCCTGCTCCTCAGGTGCACGGGCCTCAAGCAAAATGCTTGACGGAGCAAGTCAAGCATGACCACACCCGTGACCAATCCGAGATGAATGCCTTAGTAATGCTTTCCAGCATATACAATCCAGCATTTAGCAAGAAAGCTGCGTCCGGCCTGTGCAAACTACAACACAAGGAAGCCAGGATACTAAACCAAGAAAGGGCGCATCGCAATGGACGTTTCCCTGTCCCCAGTTTTATGGGCATGGAAGGTGGGAACATGAAACCTACGCAGCATCGCTGTGGGCCTACTCGCACCAAAGCTTGACCTTCTTTCGAAACCAATACACTGATTAAAGCAAAAAGCGCAAGCGACACCACAAAAGACACAAGTAAACCGCGTTCCGCGTAAGCTGCACTAGCTCTGGGAGCTGGATGGCAGCTTCTGCAGCCAACACTTGGCGAACCAAGCCTGCTGCACACAACATCTTACCACATCTTACCGCTACAGTTTTCTGCATAACGACGACGATGCAGTTTTTGGCTACATACCAGCAGCGAAGTCGTTCGAATTACAGACGCAGACGGACAAGAGGGTTCGAATCATTCATTTACTATCCGGGAGCGAGCAACAGCTCAGGCAGGAGCAACTCGGAGCAACCGCTTTGCAACAAAAGAGCTGTGAACCAGCAGCATCCAATTGGGCGAGTCCGCTGCAAGTGACAAGCAATGTTCTGCACAACTTCAAGTCTAGTTAAGGCGGGAAATTTCGTTCAAGCATGGCAGATATAACCAGCATCGGAAGGAACATGGCTAGAGCAGCTAGGCTGGCAATATCTTGAAGTCGATGCAGCAGCCGTCTGCCCAGGGCCTCGCGCCTCGCGCAACACTTTGTCGCGGTCGCAATCCAGGAGGGCGCTGCTCACGCGAAGACAACTGCCGGGACAACGACGAGGGATGGGCCAGGGACGGACATACGCCGCTAAGCTTTCGAGATTCGACGGCCTGCTTCCAAAGGTAAGCCTGGAGAAAGCCTTTGACAGCGCCACCGTCAGCCGCTTCCCGACCTGCGGCTGGCGGGTTGCCAGGCCGGAGGAGATTTTTGTCCGCGTGACCCTCTAGCCTGCTTCTCCTCGACTGCAGCTAGGAGGTCCAGCTCGCTAATTGCGCCAGATCGTCTGCGCAGCTGCTCAACATACTCGCGCTTTTACACCCTGGTCTTTCGCATTGGAACCTGAGGACGTGAGGCAAGCCGTCGTCGACTTCAATCTCTTGGGTGCTGTCTTCCTTTGCAAGTTCATGGAAACCTTGGCCCAACACGTTGGATCTTTCTCGGAAAGATATGTCAGCAGTTGCCACGTGAAGACTGGGTCTGGATGCATCCAACATGTCACCAAGTCCATACCGTCTTCCGATGCTATTTGGTTAATCACTCACTGTCAAACATCCGCACAAGGCAGCGGAGGAAAGATCGTATGTTGTCAAGTACGATGTGGAAACCGGACGCGACAACTGTACTATACTCTTCCGTGAGCTGCTCGTTACGGAAACATGCGAGAGCATAAAAAGTTAAGGAAGTTCTATGCATATAGGTAATTGCGAAAGGGCACTGGCAGCTCTGAAGGCACTTCACGTTTAACCGCAAAGATGCAAAGGTCTGTGTCATGCAGAGTCTTCCCTTAAGGAATGAAAACTGCTGTGTGAAATCTCAAGCGGACCTAACTTGTCCTGGCGGGCATGCTCGTGCGCACCACTGCTCCGTTAGGTCGGCCGGCGCAGTCACAGGCAACATGCAAGCTGGTAAACTATGGCGAATCTCACAGTTATCATAAGTACACAATCATATCCGAATAGTTGGCCCATACAATCACCAGTCGCAACAACTCTGAGAAGAATCGGAAGAAAAGGGCGCCCGCAGGACAAAAACGTAAGTGCACTGCAGGACTATGTAGTGGTCCTGTCTGTGCTTACGAAGCTGATGTGCAATTCAAGCCACCCACCGCACCGGTGGCGGTAGCTTGTCGGCTGAGGCTCCAATCTCTCCCGCTTTTTGAGCTGCTGCGCCAGCTCAAAGAGCCCGTCTCGGGCTGAGGCACACCTCAGCTTGTGACGCATGAGAAAAGGGACTAAGCTTCCAGTGCAAACACGTCAAGCTGTGCTCCTGAATGGTGTGCATGTGCAGCTCCGAGGCACCGTGGGCAGGCACAGCCGATACCGGCAAGTACTCCTCAAAAACCGAAACAGACCTAAAACACTAGATGAGGGTTGGTTGTAATGGAAACTGCCGTATGAACCAACTTGAAAGGGCAACCGGAGAAGCCTAAGACCAGAACAGTAAACTACTAACGCCTAAGCCCTGGACCCAGGCATGCAGATACACCTAAATGAACAACGTGTATATACTGCATACTGTATACATCCTTCATTCTTACTTTTCAGCATGGAGCTCGACGTGCTTAAGACACAGTGGGGTTTGGTCTCAAGCCGAGGGTGCAGAGCGTTGTGGATCGGGAAGGCGAATTTTCGGTGTGGTGCCTGTTACGACTTCCCCTCCATGGTTTCTGCTACAGCGGATTGATGGCTTCTGTCGGTACGTGACTTCCTGGTTTCCCAATGCATCACCATGCCGCTTTGTGGTTGTTGCTGTGCGGGCTCGGTCTCTTACGAGATTCGCTGACATCTGTCTCTAGCCCCAAAAAATCTAGAGATGCAGTTGGCATCCCTCACACGATAGTCTGACTCTTGCAACACGGACGAATAAGTAGGACCATTCCCTGCACCGTCCTCGGGGTCCAGCCCCGAACGAGGCAAAAGCTCAATCACGGGCTCCCCGCCATTTGGCCAACAAGGAGTCCATTCGCCGTCTGGTGGCGGGGGCATAGCTTTCCGCAAAAACAAAAATAATCAGAGGAAAGGCCTTTGCTGCACTCTTCAGTGCAAGACAAAGAGCAGCGGAACAGCCTCGGACTCGGACAGCTCAAGTCAAAAACGGAGCCAGGGGTGCAGTCAAGCGGCATCCCGTGTGCCGCGCAGGCAGTTAGGCTCCATCACTGCGATTATGTGGGGCACTATAGCCTGCTTAAGATCATAGGCACAATTCCTGCATCGGAAGCTTGGCGTGAAGAACTTGAAGATGCGTTAAGCTTTGGTAATGTCGCCGGCGGTTGGAGCTTTGTGCGGCAACTGTCATGACATGAAACGCGGGTGCTATCGACGCGTCTTGAAAGCTTCAACCACAAAGGTTCACAAGTTCGTTTGTGCATCGCAAAGCATGCCTGCAGCAGCAGCAAATACCATGCCTTGCGCTTCGCCATGTGAACGGAAAGCCATCATGAGCAGCAGTTGGCATGCATCGGCACTGGCTTCAGTGCAACCCAATTTGACTCCGGGGAATCTGCGGGGACCCTTGGACGAGAACCCCTGGCTGTGGCTGTGGCTGCAAGGTTCCCGATTGTTCGGCTCAAATGCGCTCAGGCTGCGCAGGGTTGACTTGACGACTTGTCCATGCTTCGGCTCGTCAGCTTGAGGGCACTGCGACACTCACCAATGCACCAGCAGTGCGCCCTAGGAGCATTGCTAAATTCACCGTGCTCCCCATCTTTTTGGTGGACTGGTCTGCGCCTGTACGTTGCCTGCATCCCGGCTACAAGTATAGGGTGATCGCGGGTGACTTTGAACATGAGTACAAGGGCGGGTAAGCGTTCCGTGAAACGTTCTTCTCGAAACTGGTGCCTGATCACCATGTCCCCGTGGAATCACCGTCCTACGGTGATGGAAGCGCGAGCGGATGGCAAGCACCAAAATGCGCCAGAACTCTTGGTCTGTCCTCCAGGCGGTTCTCTGTCCAGGCCGTGTGCCCTTGGCACAAGGGCACAAACGAGTTCCTCCCACATCGATCCATCCCTGAGGTTGTGGCCCCAGAAATGACTGATAGGTGTTGGAGGACCGATTTCGACCTGCAGGTCTGGTGCACTGAGACGTCCATCCACAACAAACACGCTACTTTCAACCCTTTTCAACGGTCTTCGTCCGAGGGCCACAGGAAAGGCTTTGCTTGACCTGGAGAAAAACACCTTCCCGGATTGGCGAGAAACGAAGCATTGCAGGTTTCGCTGGCTTCCGGTTTTGCGCTGGCTGCGGACGATGTGCCAACTGCACCGCCTTGTCGACTGTACACACCCGCCGACAACAAGAGAAAGCATGGACAAGCCATGCTGCAACCATGCCGACTGGGTGTTGGATTTTTGGCCTCTGCGCAAATCACAAAGCACTTGCTTGGGCCCCTGAGACCCCTGCTCCGGCGCCAGCACACACGCCAATCTGAATTTTGCAGTATGCCTTGCAATCACCTCATTCCCGAACCGTCTCTTGCACGCTGTTGCCCGTGAAGTTGACCGAGCTATGTGCGATAGAAGCATACTTCAAGACATTTGGTCGCCAAAGCCTTGGCTTCGTCCAAGCCTTGGGGTACACAAAGAATTCACAGTCAAACGGAGGCGTCGAGATCTCTCAGGCAACAGCTCATGTCAGGCTTCCAGTTGTTGCGGAGCAGGGGTCTGCATGTGATGACGAGCTGTCTTCGACAACAAGGAAGTTGTTGCACGGAGGCGCCGGCATTCCCAGATGCATGCCAAATCCTGTTGCCACGAAGTCCTCTTCGAAAGCAGTTCCTGACCCGAGCCCAGTCACCGAGCATTCAACCAGCCCAGCTTAGTGCTCACATCAGAACGAAGGCCAAAGAAGAGTATCCTTGATGATCCACGTACATCAAGTGCGGAGCCTGATCCTGAGGGGCAGTCGGGGCATGCACAACGAGGGAATGAAGCTGCTTCTGGCCTGTTTTTTCCCCACCACTATGAATTGGTTGTACAAGGGATTGAACCTTGACAGGCTGCACCGGCCGCACATGCCACGGTAGAACAGCACTGCCAGTCTACAAAATGCTACCAAGAGACTTGCTTCGTCGATTGTACATTACTCGGCCGATATAAGAAGAGTACTCCTTCGGGCCTGGCGGACAGCAAGGCTTATGCGCTTGAGGCAAAGCTTCTGGAGGGACAAAGGCCAGCGCCCATCGAACAGCCGTCCTCATGTAGCCAATCCTCGCAATCGTACTTGGTAGGTTGGTACTAGTACGCTAATAATTTAATGCCTTTGCATCGCAAGCTTCCTCATCAGCCATCTCATCCAAGAGGTCACCCAAGTACTGGAAGTCGCTGATCTCTCCACCGGCACCTTGAATCGTGTGACGGTTTCGGTAGGACCGGTAGGAAGCCTCTGACTGTTCAGCCACCCTCCATTTCTATCTACAATCTTTTCAGACTGGGGACAGGCCGCAATGCTACGAGATAGCACCGAGAAGATAAACGTATCAAGCACGAAGATGCACCCTCCATGATAGAAAGATGCAGCAATTTCTGGGCTGAGGTCAGAAGCGGTGAGGCCAAGACCCAGCAACGTGTGATCACCGATCTTCTTCAATCGGCACCTCAAGTTTGGGCAATCGTTGAATCCCTCGTTCGGATTGGAGTGGAGGCCCGAGCACATCTTTGTAGCGAGCCTCGTTGCCGTAAGACCTTACAGCTGTGTTCGATTCCGGAAAACTCGCTTCAACTACACGCTTTTTGAGAGCTGAGCGCTAGAGTGTCCGCAGCCAGAATGACCCCATCTTTGTACTTCATACCGATGACGGTCGCACCAGTCACCACAGGGGACATCCTCAGACTCGATTTGACACGAACGCCGGGACTTCGGAACTCCTGCCAGTTTCTTACTCTTGTCCAGACCCCTTACGAGACGCACTGCCGTTCCGCTTATCTCATGTCACGAGATGGTGTGAATGCAACAGTATAGATCCCGCTGTGATTGGTGACCTTTTTGCAAAGCCCTCCTTGGCTCATGTCCAGCAGAAAGAAAAAAGCATGGAAGCAACGAGTCTACAAAATTCTGAAAAACGCGAGCGAGCACATTGGCCATTAATAGTGGCGGTGATTGCCCTTTCAGGGTCGGGCGTGTGCTGTTTGGCATCCATGGAGTATTGGCCCGGCGCCATTGCCTCTTCAGCATGAAGCAGGGCGGCCACGAAACTGTGAATGACGCGGCGACATGGCTTTGCTTGAGGTTCGAAGGCTGCTGGGCTCCCGACCGCGATCGTTCTGGTCACGGCGGCGATTATGCAATGAGCAGCTGGAAACACATGCCGACATTGCTTCCCTACCTTGCCCTATGTGACATGCAGACATGCAGTAATCGAAAAAGGGGGAACTCGCACGGACCTAGCAAGACATATTTTCTCTCCTCACCGCACCTGCACCTTTCTGCACTGGTTGCAGTGAGTTCTTGTGCGAGCATTAGGCTCGGCACTCAGACGTGGGTGCCAAACCTTGGTCGCGGACTCTAATTCGAACGAGCAAAGGCAGCCACCAAAGCATAGCAAAGCCTTGCGGCCTTCCCGTTCCGTCCCTTTGCATCCGCCCCTTCGTCCCGTTCCTTGTATATGTTTGTTGCCTCCGTGGACGAACCTGCGAGAGCCGCCTTTCCATGCCGGCTGTGGAAAGCTTCTTCAGTACCATTTCGGTGCGGAAATTACCGTAACCCTCGGAGAGACGATGTCAAGCCCAGACATGACCTTCAAAGACAGCCGCGTCAAAAGTGCACCAGCACATTCGTGCATTGCCCATATTTGCTGATGCAGTACTCGCCTTCCCTACAAAAACGATGCGCAGATTAACTCACTCCATGCCTTTTGGATTCGTCTGTGGCTCCACTCCTTTCGGGTCGAAAGCCTGTCCCTAGCACGCCTGCACCTTTGTTTGATTCACTGGGAGCGGCATGTTGTTAACGACAGACTTTCTCGCCACCATGAGTCCCTCGCGGGGGCGGGGAGTGGGGTGGGTTAGGGGAGGGGGGTGAAATGGGTACAGGGCGGGGGGGGGAAAGCGGGGTTTAAGGACTCTCACCGGATGCATGGCTCTCGCGGTTTCCTGTCCGAGGGCCCTAGATAATGGCTTCTACGTAAGGAACACCTACAGCAAGTACCTACACAAGAACTACCCGGTATACACCCACGTCAAGGTACGGGAAACTGTTGAAATAGGTACCAACGTATACCACCGTTCTAGCAATTATATTAGCTTCTATATTAGGAAGAGTGGAGTGGACCCCCTAGCCCAGTACTTGACCTCTGGTCAACCTTCGCGTCTCCCCTCCGATGCAAGGAGGTGGCACAGGCCCCCAAGCAAAGGTGCAGCACTTGAGCCAAAATGGAGCTCTCTCTTTCTTTCGCCAGGGTTGTGGTGCAGGAGGTTTCCCCCGGAGCTCTCTCTCTGTCTTCTTCCACACAGTCAAGAGAAGGGCACTGCACCCTCCCCCGCGCGCGTACGCGCACTGGTGACGCTGTCCATGTGTGAAAACTTTGGTCGATTCGGCTCAGGGTTACGAGCAGGAAACCCCATATTTATTTAGAACACTAAACCCCCGGCCTCATCTTGTTGGCACCGATACTGTCTGCTTCCGGATGTGGCTTCTGTAACCGCAACTCTTGGGGCTCTGGGTGGCTCCAGTTAGGGCACACAAGCTAACACGATAATTACAACTCTCTGTCTCTCTCTCGCTCTCGCTCTCTGTATTTGTTTCGGTGGGCATCAGGACCTACTGCCCAGCCCTTGATGCGCGCACTTGCGTACCAACGCACGCCAAGCATTCTTCGGCCTCTCCAACTCTCTCAGCATTGCTGTTCTTGCTGCCTCTCTCGCCCTGTCTCCCTATCTGTTGGAGCACTGAGGCAAGCACCTTTGCGAATTCGTGCCATGTGTTGGACCATTACCAACTCAATACATGACCTGGACGCCAGGCCAAGGTACAGCACGACCAGGTTTCAGGACAGGGCATGTACCGATATCTCGATAAGCCAGGCTTTCCACCTTGGAAAAGTTGAGCACATGCTATGTACAAACTTGCTACACACTTGTTCGCCACTCTCTGCATTGCACCATCGACTTTGCAATGTCTAAGGATCCCAGCAATCGTTTGGTAACGCGTGACCTCCAAGCAATCCAGAATTTCCTGGCGGGTCTGCACACAATGGGATGCAATCGTGGAAAGCTGCAGGCCAAGCCTGGTTGCACGGACCTGAATAGCCTGACTTCGCCACAAGCTCACGGATAGCAACTTCGCGGGTCATGCCTCCAGCAGGTTACAAACGGTGTCACGGTCCAAAATAAAACGAAGTGTCTGAGGAGCACCGTGCTCTTTGGCCACCTCTGGCAGGTATGTTGCGGAGAATCGCCTCTCGACAAGATTTGCCGGAATCGCTCAGTGTCAGTGGTTGCATATATGAGCAACATCTCCGGCTCGGTACAAAAAGCTTGATGTTGCATGGTAATCATCGTGTAGTGTGCCTTCCGTGAGAGTCTGAAAAGTTGAGCAACACGCCATGCCTGATCAACGGATCTGGTGCCCAGCAATTCGTGCGGCAACATGGCACGAGCTGGGGCAACGACACGCCAACTTGCCAATCAAAGGCATGCGCGCAGGGCTCGAACTTGTGCAAAATCGATATTCTGCAAGTCAAAGCAGGGACCTGCGAACAGGATATGTGTGGTTTGGCACAAACCGCCATTACACGCACAAGGACAACGACGACGGCGACCACCACCGGCACCACCACCACCACCACCAACACCACCAGCACCACCACCACCACCAAGGCAGCGCAGGTTTCTGCGGCCCCCCCCCCCCTTTGCCCCTCCAGTGTTTCTCCTTTGAGCTCAAGTGTGCTTCAAGCGTGGGTCTGATTCGTCCCTCGAGGCCTCATCAGTATAACTGTATAACCAGGCATGTGCTGCCTGCATTAACTCTCAATCCTGCCTCGTCTAGCTTGACAGGTGGGAACCGTCGGTCCTTCGATGACTTGTGTACATGGGCAGGAAGTGTTTTATGAATGTGGTACTTCAAGAAACTTGTGCAGAGTCCTTCATGGAACTTCGTATGGCATACTCAGAGAGGCCGCTGTGGAAGTGGATTGGCTGACAATGCATCGAAACACACTTTCTGCCCACCAGAGTGTTCGCAGCCCAACCACACCTCACCTCTAGGCATCCGATGCAACCGCGCAGCTCCAGCTCGGAGTCATGTAAGCCCTAACATGTGCAAGCATCTGTCGTGTCTGCTTGCACATGGAGCTGACCGAGGAGCACGCCGTCCTGGCATTATTGCGTTGCTTCAGCCACGTTACGAACAATGGAGCCTCCCGCAAGACCAGTCACACGGAGGTGCATGAACACGTTTCAAAAGCCTTGAACCCGGGATCCGCAAGAGGTGGAAAGCTGGGAAGAGGCAAACCTGGGTGTAATCCATCTTTATCTGCTTGGTCCAACTAAAAGAATCAGGGTGCGACTCTCCAAGTGCGCACGTAGCACCTGCGGGCTGTAAGCAGGTCGGTGCAGTAAGCAACAACATGAGCTCTGAGCCTGGAAGCAAAAACAACAGAGCTCAGCCGCAGTGAGACCTAGCCATGTCATGCCACGTCCATCAAATCTGCCAGATGCATTTCCGTCACACTGCATGCGTGTTTTCAAAGACATAGGGCTGTCCAAACTTCGCCGCTTTGCTTTGCGTGAACTAACCTGACTTTTCTGCCATAACACTCCACGATTCCCTATTTTCGACCTGCTACAGAGGCATAGCGGACAAAGGCCGATCGATCGCGTAGCAACCCGACGGCATGGAGCGGGCAAAAACGGATCTGACGCCACAAGACAAAATGCCTGTTGGTACAGGGAACAAGGACTTTGTCAGCAGTCCTCAAGGGAAAAACACTTCAGGATGGCGAACTTTCGATGCAGGGTGTCCTGGGCAGTCTGCCACATCACCTCCTCCTGAGAAGCAGGAGGCAGCACAAGGCATCGCTGCCACATTCTCCCACCTTCGCTCCAATCACCAGGAGCCTCAGCTAAGACTGCTCCTTTCAAGGACTTCCAGTTCCAGCAAAGGTTCTGCTGAAGATCACGGCAGGATCCAGTAAGCTTGATCGCAACTTCATCGCCGTGGCCATTGGCATGACTCATGGGGGCTCTTGAGACTCGGTTGGAGATCCTGGGTTAGCTCAGGAGTGCTTCAATGAGGTTCTGTGCCAGTGCAACCATTGCAACCTCACATCCAGTCCCTCTGGACGTGTCGATTGCAGTTGATATCTGAGGACTAGCTTGCTTGCTTGCTTGCTTGCTTGCTTGTCTTGGTCGGTGGTGCCCGAATGCTGTCAGCCAAACACAAGCATGGACAGCTGCTAGATTCCAAAATGCAACAACTACAGTAACTAAAGTGTGCAAGCGATTGAACCTTTTCGAACTCCAAAGCCACGTTCCCGCTAAGCGGGATGGCGATCGGCCCGGTCGGCCTTTGAGCGCGAAAGCCCATGCAAGAGAACGGGATCACTGCAGGATCACTGCGGACCTCGAAAATTTGATAATAAACTGAAAAATGAGACCCTGCTCAATTGAAACGGAAGTGCATCACGTCAGCTTCCTGTACCTGAACCCGACTGCCGCAGGCTCAAACTGACTTAGTGACACTTGCAATCCGCAGCTCACCTCGTACTCTTTTCCTTCAATGCGAAGTTTGCCCTTGTCTTTGGCGGCCTCGCATGGCTTGCATGCCGCTGCATTGCAGTCCTGTTAGTGCGGTGGTGTCCTCTTCTGAGCCGCATTCTACGAAGTCATCATAACTGACTGTCGCTGCCTCGCCACGACAGACCACCATCCCACTATTCCCGTGTGATCCTGTTGGCAAACCTATCTGCCTTGATGAAGCCCTTCTCGAAATCTGTGTGTATGACACCAGCAGCCTGGGGAAGCAAACAGTGACGCAAAAACGCTAGCAATAAAGGGTCACCTTTGGAGCTTTCCAGCCAGCATGGATGGTCCACGCCCGCGTCTCCTCCGGGCCGATGCTGCCGCACAGCAGCTCTGCAAAAAACTGCAAATTGCGCGCTCCTTTGGGCCACAAGTGAAATAAGTACGCAGGCCGAGCGTCCTGGCACAAGCACATCATAATGAATCATGAACCTAACTCTTATGCCTGCGCATTGACTTCAAGCCATGCTATATTTCGCCTGTATGTTGCCTGAACCAAGCTGCCGCAGCCACTCTCCTGCTCACTCCGAACTGCACGTCGCGATGCAGTTGCATCTCTCCCACGCGTGGTGATAGTGCTGTCCTTGACTCCCAGGAATTCCAAATAATCTTGAACCGCCTCTGCATCCAAAGACTTCAATTCAGCCTGCAACAGGATCGCTTGCAGAAGAACGCGAAGTGAAGTGCGGCTTCAGAACCGAACGAAAGTGCGAGGCCAAAGGCCTCAACCTGAGCTGAAACAACCACCACTTGATCGCCGGTCTCTTTCGCAAAATCCTGTACTGCCTGAACGGGGTGAGAAGGAGAAACAGTGCAAGGCAATGCAACGCATGTCAGGGCCTTCACGTACTCGTTGCCTGCTGCCAATTCCTCCTTCAGATAAGTACACAACATCAGGGGACCCGTGGATTTTCCAGGTTGTTTGCCGGATGGCATGTAGTTCTTCGGACCTATAGTGGATATTTGCTCTAAGCAGTTGAAGCCCTTTTGCTGAAATCTTGTCGCCGCACACACACGCCACCTGGCTTCAGGGCCAATATCGGCTGCTAGATTTTGGGGTTTCTACGACCAGGTCATGATTGTCGCAATTAACGGAATTTGCCATGCATCATGTCCCCTTCGGGTTTGGTATATATGAAGCCCTACAACCCTAGGCCCTAAACGGGCTTATAGTGCCTACCCTCTTACCTTCAGAATTCCGCACCCAGACCCAGAACTTCAGGGCGGCCGAGGGATGGAGTGGCCAAATGGCCGTGAAAATGTCGGCCGTCTTTCGCCGTTCATGAGTTTCTCTGTGCTGATTTTGAAAGTGCACAGCTAACTGTAAATCTTTGTATGCTTCTCATGCCGTCTTGTTCCTGGGCCAAAACACGGAAGACCGGGGGCTCAGAAGGCCCTAGGCGACCTCCACATGCCGCGGGAACCCTCCAGGCGACCACTGGGGGGAAGGGGCGGCCCAGATTCTCTGGATTTCAAGTTGCCATGCCCTCAGTCCCTGCAGCCCAAGGGTCCACAAAAGGAACACCATCCTCATAGCACACAGGAGCTTGCAGGAACATACTTACAATACCTACAAGTGCTAACGATGTTCCGAATCTGCTCTGATGTACCGAAATATGATTGTTATGTTGAAGACAAAAATACATGCCACCATGGCGTGGTTTTCTGCAGATAAACCGGCTCTGCTCGGCTCGTTTCTCCTCGGAGACGTTGGCCGCGTAGATCACCGGCTTCATGGAAAGCAAGGACAAATCCTGCCGAGAAGAGCACAATGCAGAGCTCACTGCAAAACACGCTTTCAGAAGGTCAGGAATAGAAAAGCAGAGTTTTGTTATCTTGAGTTTCTGATATCTTTTGCCTGGAGGGCCAACTCTTCCTTCTCCGAGAGCTTTGCTGCACGGGCCGGCTTGCCCTCCTCTCATGATCTGTCATGCTCATCTCATCCAAGCATTCCGTTCTGCTAAGGACAGTCATAGTCGCAGCCGTCGTAGCCCCGCCTCAAGCACTTTGAGGACTTTCTGCAAAGCCTCACGGTGCGAACTCTTCGGGTCCGAGCTGATATGCGTATACGCTGCACTGAGCTCCTCCTTTTCTTCCTTAGCGCCTTTGACCTGATTTTGGTTTCAAGCTCTCGCTGCGAGGTTCAGGAACTCGGCTTCGAGCCTGTCCAACCACCTCCCGCTCCACCTTCTTCAGACGCTTCTCGCACTGGCCAGGCTTACCCACGACGACGAACTTCAAAGAAAACACAGGACGAACTGCAATGTGCATAATTTGCCAGGTGCACCTGATCGGCATCTGCAAAGATGAGCTCCAGGCTGATAGTTTCTATGTCCTGATGTCGGCAGCATCCGCTCTTGGATGTTGTTGCGACACTCAGCGTCTGTCTTGACAAGCTGCTCGCACAGGGTCGACGCTACCATCCACATGTGTAACCTGTGCCAAGGTGCTGGTACGAGAAGCACACGCAAAGAAAGAAAGCAAGGTGGGTTCGACACCGAGCTTCTAGCATTCTCATCATCGAAGCATCGAATGACGTGAACGATTGCATCTGCATCCATGTTCACAGAAGCGATCCTAGCCTCAACGCGATAAGCGACCTGGATGTGCAAACGATGCCTGTATTGCGGATGTTTCCCAGGAACTGGTTGCCCAGGCCCTCTCCTTTCGAGGCACCCCTGCGCAGCGACACGGGATCCACATTAATGCGACGCCAATCAATATCAATCAATGCCACGCCTTACAAGTCCCGCGATGTCGACGTACTCAATCATCTGTGCCACAAAATGGCATTGCAAGGACAGTTGGTCAGAATGCACAGACCTCGTTGATAACTTTTTCGGAGTTGGCCAAAGAAGCCAGCTTGTCCAGCCGATCATCCGGCACCTGGTAGGATGTTGGTTGACTCATAGCGACACATATATGTTGCAAGTGCTGCATCACTCTGTCACCGTCAGCAGTGCAAGCCGCGAAGGCGGTGCTGGTATGATCGCCTCAACACTCAACATGCTGATTTTCCTGCCGCGTGATGGGTCTGCGACGGGACTTTCGGAGACACGTGCGAGGCCTGCCTATCTGCCAATGCGCTGGTAGCGGCGACATGTCACATCCGGTGCTACGAGTAGATGATCGTTGTATTTGAAGGCACGCACGACAAACCGCGTCGACTCCGCGGTGCACGCCGCGAGATCGAGCCATCATTGGCATGTCGTCTTTATTGTGTGGGGCTTCTATGGACTACCAATAATTCACAGTTCTGAGAACATCTGCCAATGATGAGTATTCCAAAGATAGTGGCTGCAACATGTCCAATTGCTTAGCAATGTGACAGCTGCAAGGACTCCGCAAGGGAACCAGCTCAAACTGGCCGCGATTGCCTTCACTACCTGGACATTCAAGCTTGAGAAAGCCTTCAGCATCTTGAGTTTGGGCACAACTTGTTTTTGCCTTATATGGCGTAACACAACAAGACTCATCGTTCCTGTGTTTCCGGCTGGTGCGGTGTTCGCGTCTACAACGCTCACAGCAAGTGTCATCCTGCAGCTACAGGAAACTACCGTCTACTACTTGTGGTGAAGAGGTGAAGCTCAGGGACTTGCTTGCCGTTGCTGTGGAGCAAGCGGCAAGCCATCAGAAACTCCGTGATTGAGTCATCTGCGGCAATGTCAGGTGTTCTGTTGATACACATCCATGCAGAAGGAACCTTCGTGGCTTTCGGACAGTTGCAGCGTCGCCTGGACCCGGTATTCGCGAACTTCAGCTTGCCCGAGAGTTACCCGTCGCTTTACACCTCCGCGCAGAAGACTTCTGCCGCTGCAGTGCCGCTGCTATTCAAGCCAGCTTTAACTCTGCTGAGATCCAACTCAGAACCCCACTTCGGCAATGTGCAATTTCCTGCACGCACACCACACGGAAAGTCCCCACTGCCATGCACAATGTTTGTGATGCAGTCCTCCTCTTGCAAGGACACTGCATCAAACGTAGCTCGGCGGCCGGTTTCCTCGCTGCGTTGTCAGTTTGCCCTCGTCAAGAACTACCCATGGGATCGCAGGATCCTTGTGACCGAGTCCCTGCAGACTCTTGCTTCTCAAGATGGATTTGCCCGGCGAGACAGGTGAGGTGACCTCCTGACAACAGAACGACGAATGTTTACGATGCGACAGGCTTAGCACATCTCAGGACCAAAAACACGTTTCTCCCATGCTGCAAATCCAGAATTACCAGACCTCGTTGAGCATGAAGCCACCAGGTCTCGAGTTCCTGCTCTCACTTCCAAAGGGCTTCAAATTTTGAGACGGAGTTAGCTTTACCACTTTGCCTCAGCCCTGTCGGCGAAGCCGTCTGTTCTGCCTCGCACGAGTTGGTTCTCCCGAGCGCTTGAGCCTCTGCTCCCACCTCAGCGTCCTTTGGGGAATTCGCAGAACTTGTCAGCAAGGTCCTGAGGAATCGATGCCATCATGCAGGCGCTAACGGCATGGTGATCGCACACGGCACTCGAAAAGCGAAGGCGAAACCCCAAATGTCCTACCAGGGTTCGGGGCTGTTTGGCTTCCTCTGGCATTCTTTGGTGAGCTCTCTGGCCTTGGCGGCTTCCGATGTCAGAGACAGCTCAAACCAAGCAAAGAACGATGGCTGAGCCAGCCGGCTCACTGGTCTCCACCGTGCTTGCCACCTTAAGTATTAAGACTCTTGCAACGTGCCCAGAGCTTCAGATTTCAGGCTGTCCATGAGCGCAGCACACACCCCATGACGCTTTGAAGATTCTGCTTGATGCCAGCTCTTCAGGTCCTGAACTTGAACTCGCAAGGATTCACAATGCAAATGCCGACTGCGTGCAGCCAAAACAACTTTCTGAGGTCGTGGCTGCAGCTGAGGCCAGCTACCGTGGGAGGAGAGAAACAGCCCTAATTAGTGAAAGCCCAAACAGCTGTTGCGGTGCAGCGAAGGTTTGGGAGACTTAGGAGAATACTTACGGCCTCACGGCTTACGGTCGTCGTGATGCACTGCAGAAGTCTGGATTGCCGTCGCGCATGGCCATGCCACGCCTTGGCCTTGCCCATGTTGGGGTCAATGGTGCAGAATGGAAAGTTGCCTGCTTCTGCCTGCGCAAACACGACGAACACCGGGGGGGAGGCTGCAAGGGCTTTTACATGTGACATGTGCCTCGCCAGTGTCACACAGAGCATTGAAGAGTGTGCTTTTGCCAACATTGGGCAAACCCACAATGCCTTGGCACAAACAGGATCTGCCACTCCACAACGGAAGCAGCCGTCAGCCTGCCTGTTTGAAGTCCTCGACGCTGCAACTTGCAAGCTCGGCCTGAAAGCAAAAAAGAGCACATGGAGATCGAGAATTCCCAAATTTGCGCACGTGCTACCTTCAAGCTGGGGGTGTAGGTCCCTGACGTTTCCCTTTCTACTTGCTACTTCCCAACTAATCACTTAGTACTCACCACCAACTACTCCCGACATCCTGCTTGCTACCTCTGTGTTTGGGGGGTGTTGCGAGGTGGTAACGTTTTTCTCCTTGGCCAAAAGAAGGGGGGGTGGACCTCCCAGCTGGGTCGGCTGAGACCGCATTGCGGAGAACTATCGAGATTGCAAGGTCAATCAGTCAGCGCCCACCTGCCAGCCCTCTGGCATGCATTCGCCGGGACGAGCTACTAACCTAAGTCGGAAGGAACTGCTGAAACATCGCGATGTCGGCAGCAAACCGTCTCCGCATCTGACAGGCATCAGCACGACACTTGCTCTTGAGTCTTGCACGAAAGTCGCCTGGTGCCTTCAAGCGCAAGCAAGAACTGCTTTTTGCGACGAGGTCTGGGACCTGACTCGTTGCCTTCTCCGTGTGTGACTCAGGCATACAGCTGCGATTGTAGCGGAAGCTGTGGCTGCCTGTGAGATGATGGCACCAAACAGCACAGTGAATTCACAAGCAAGTGTTCACCCAATTCTTGGAACTGTTCGCGTCTACGATGAAGAGCATGCCAAGATTCCACGTTGTATGCTCCGTTGTGATTTTGTGCATGGTGCTGGTTTGCGCCACCGACTCGGGAGAGTGACCTCATTGTCATAAAGCGTCCAGCAGTACAAATCGCAGGAGATTTGACATGAGTCCCAAGCCGAGGGTTGGCAGTTGGTGTTGGCCGAGTATCAAGCGCCGCGAATGCACCTCAACAGCTGCTGTGATGCAACCAACCAAGCACCGAAATCCAATGCCATCACAACCACGTCATCGAAGCTGGCATTTCCCGGCCTTCCATCTTTGACGCTGAAGTCGAGGCGCAGTGGCAAGCTTGAGCCAAATCCATGCCGTCCTGTGTCATTATTCTCCCGCCGTGTCCCCCACCATATACCTCTCCACATTCTGAGCTGCCACTGGCTGCCACTGTGACGATTTGCATGTGTTGCTTCTTTGTTGAGTGGATGCGTTTCATCCCTGGGGGACCGGCCCCAGAATTGGCTGTCAGGCCGCCAGGACAAGCGAAGGGAGGACACAAAAAGTCAAGCATCTGCCCGAGTTTCAGGCTCTATTTGTTTGCCGTCCTGCCCCCCCCCCTGCCGCTGCTGCAATTCCCGAATCTCCTAGAACCCCGAGACCCGAGAACCTCTCTCGAATTCCAATACGTCTTGATGGCGGAAGCAGCTCACACATTGCAAAAAACGATCTAAAGCGCATCAGCACGACGTGCAGCACGAAGCAAAACGAACACAAAGTAACTTTTCACACGCGACATGCGAGCTCTCTCTTGAGTCTTGAGCAAGGCGACTTCGCCGCCTCATTCTTCTGAGTCAGGCCTGGGAAGTTCAGTTGAATCGCTGCTGCCAAATCATGCTGGTCACCAGTCCGTTGCCCGCTGCCCCGTCTCTGGTTTTGCTTGCGGGCCGGGGGGCAAGTCCACGCCCAAAATCTCCGCAACTCTCTTTTCGCCCTTGACTCCATTCAGGACACGTCCGAACTGGTCACTCGGTCCTCGAAGTGTCCTGAAAGTGTGATAAAGTAGGTTCTCGGATGCTCTGTACTCTCCGACATTCTCCGACCTGACGTTCGGGCCGAACGGGCACTCGTCAAAGCAGTCATATTCCCCAACCTGCAAAGCTTGCGCATAAGCTTGCGCGGATCTTCTGACGCCCCCATGCCCACGTTCCTGGCAAAGTCGAGTTGAATGCCGAGTTGCTTCAATTCCAGTCCCGTCCGCAAGCTTGTCGAAGACAGCTTTCAGCTTTGCGCCGCCACCCCTGCCTGCAGGAACCAAAATGGCCCAAATATGCAACCAGGGCGAGAGGGCACCGAATCTGCTTGGCCCGGGGATCGCTCAAGTGCTGGCAAGCTGCGCTTGCAGTCTCTGTGTATGCAGATCTCAACTTTTGTAATCTGGGACCTCAGGAATCGCTTGCGTGGTGGCAACAGACACGCCTGACACTCGCCTCAACAGGTCCGCGATTGCAACCTAATTACGAGCGTGTCTCCATCCATAGTGCCAGTGCCCACCGAGCTACCTCAAACAGTTTTTTACAGACTAAGTGACTAGGACTTAAACAGACTCAGACCACCGAGACATTTAAGCTGAGTATCCAAGTCCGCTTCTGATACCTTCAGACGTGCTGAAGGCAAGCATTACAAGTAAGGAAGAAAAGGTCCTGTAGGGCCTGCGGTCTTGTAGCAGGCGATTCAGCTTCATGATTGTCTGAATCACTTTAAGCTTGCAGCTCGTCGGCTGCGCGGAGGGAGGTCTTGTCACTTCTGCCGCTCCAGAACGGCCCTACAAAGAGCCAACCTGCAGAAGTTCCAACATGCTGGAGCCACACACTCTCAGTCTCAGTGTCTCAGCTGCGCCTGTCAAAAAAGCAGACCATGCAGCCAATATCAAGCCGGCCTGGGCACGGGACTCTCGGGCCACGAACTTCGAAAGAAGCGGAGCCGAATGAAGCCAAAGCACCCTCGGTGCTCTGCGCCGTGCCATGTGGAAGCTTCACGTAACCACCGTCACTTGAGCACACTTATCCATGGCAAAAAACAGACTTGGCGAAGCCATCACACCGCACAGCATGAACAAGCAGCACGACTTCTCGCGGCCTTCGCCCATGCCGCACTTAGGGTGCATTTTCAAGTACAGACCACACCGACACAACCAACCAGCACGACAAATTAGAGGTCATGACCACCGTGCACTCCGAAAGCAAGGATATCAAAGATGGGAGATGGGCATGCCAGCTCGCACAGCCGCGAGGCCGTACGCCTCATACCTGACTCACCGGACAGCACTGTCATGGCAGTCCACAGCCCAAGCATGACGCGGAGTGTGTTGTCCGCAAGAGCTGAATCAATTCACATTTTCCGGCCGGTTTTGGCTTAAAAACGCATGGTGTGATGTCCAAAATGGGTCAGATGCTCTTGAAAACGCTGTTGAAAGTAGCACTTCCCAAGGAGTTGAGAGGTCTGCTGGCCTCGAAACCAGTGAGCCGTTTCGAGTGTTTACACACTCGGCGGTCAAAACACGCCACTTCCAGGGTGTCGGCTAGCCTGTGCCCACAGAGGTGGGTTTGCGGGACTCGACAAGATGGAAGCAGGTCTGATATTGAACCAGAGGTGAGTTGAAGGTCAAGCGGTGACGTCCGTGACGGTCGTACCAATCCTCAAGAGCCGGTGCATGCCAATGGAGATCAAGGAGCTTACAGATGGTGCCAGAACGGTCCCCGGCCCCAATAAGCACAAAAATATGCTTCTGCCGTTGCGCAGGCAACACCAACATTATCCGGCAGGGGTCACGGAGTCCTTCAGTGCCTTCGGGCCAAGCCAATTCTCTCTCAACCGTCCTACACTGCCAACTGAGACTGCTGTCCCCACCTCCCTGTGTCTAAGCCGCTTGAGCGTGTGCCAGTGTGCTTAGCCCTACAGCATGAGTTCTGGCCAGATGCATCATCCGTTCACTGAAGAACCTTCGACATTTTTTTTCAAACATCAAGCCAGCAGTCACGTAGGGCCGAGTGTCGGCGTTCATCATCAAGTGTGTATAGCGTCGAGCGAAAATGAGCGAAATAAGGCACATTGGCGATACGTGTTAGTAGCATGTCTGCAGCACAACTGTGAAAGGCATAAGCTGCTTTTGTAACTCCGGTCGTGGCACAAGGCTGAAGCGACACAAGCATCACCTTTTGTGAGCGACCTCTCTTTGTGCAAAAGCTGTGAACTTATCGACAGCATGTGGTGACTCTGCGAAGGTCTGGCTTCTGAATGCTTCTGATCGTCCGGACCGGTCTCGTCGCAGCCCCAACAGGTTCGGAAGCCACGACCGGAGCCATCAACAGGTCCAACCGTGCCAAGGCGCACCGATGCAGCATAAACATGCAAGTGCCAAGCTCGGCTACGGTGAAGCCTCGGCTGAGACGATTCCTTTGCTGCCATCGCGATTGGTTGCTTGGAAAGGTGTGCCATGAGCAAGCACATCCAGTCGTTCCAACTTCTCGTAGATGTGGTGACACTTCAACAACAGTAGATGCACGTCAATACCCTTGGCTTGACCCTTCATCCGCTCACAACCATTTATGAACTCGTTCAGGGTGATGGCACCTGATGAGCACGTGTTGATGAGCACAAAACTGCAAGACAACCACAAGGAGCATTGCAAAGAAATCGCGACCTGATCCGTCCCTGTCTAGCAGGTCGGCGAGCATCTGAGCATCTCCAGGTCTGAAGCCGATGATGTCGAAATAAGCCTGCTAACCACTTCTGGCGAGGTCCAAACATGAGCTCATCGCTCTCAGTATGCCATGCGAGCAGTTTAATCCGCCAAGGATGCGTTCATCACAGGATCTTGCAACAGCGCATGGATTTCATGCAGGCTGATCGTTCCGTCGCCTTAGCGACATGTGACGATCACTGTGCAAGCTCTCCGGAACACTTACGCCGGCATGCCTACGCTGCTCCCAGGTATAATTGAGCAGACGATCAAAAGTCTTTCCGCTCGGCCTCTGACCATCAAGGTCTGTGGCTACGAAAAATTCGATGATCTGATCTAACCCCATGCGCTTCTTCTCCAGGGTTTCCTCCTCAGTTCTGCAGTTGTGCAGCCAGCTTAACGTTTGGGTGTCTTCGGGTTTGACCATGTTTGACCTACACCACATGTGCACGTCGCAGGCCGCGAAGCATCCGGTCAGAAGCTAATCACCCATAGCAAGCTTAGGTAAGTACGGAGCGATCAGTAGCACCACTTCCACGGATTCATATTGCTCACGGAAGAAGCAACAGTCGCGAGTACCAATCTGCGCATTCTCGCAGAGGGACCTTTCGTTGCTTCCTAATGTGAACACCCGAAGCCCTGCCATCGACTGCTTTGAGGAGCGAAGAGCTACCTGGACCTGAAAGCACGGCAACCATCGGAGATGGGCTTAGCAAGCTACCAGCTGCACTAACAGAATGGTGCGTGACCTAGGAGAAAGCAGGATCTGTTGCAGACAGAGTTCAATCTGGATCTGGCGTTGCTTTTTGGAGTTCTGGACAGCATTGTCCACAAAAACACCTGTCGCCAATGCACGATGTGACGTTCCCGAGTCGATCCATGAAGACACATAACGAAATCGATTGCTGCTGAACTGCAGGGCCTGTGAAAACGTTCAGCAGGGCCAGGATAGTGAAAACCAAGTAGGCGAACATCAAGCAAAAGGAGATGGCATCAACATATAGAAGTGAATCTGTAACCTCGTGCCAACTAATTCCTCCCAGCGTTGTCTGAATAAGAGTGTAGCCGCTGCGCGGCAGACTCCCAAAGAAGTGATGAACTTCCTTAACACCAGGTTGGCTTGTGTTCGCAACGTCCCACTCCCAGTCTGATTTGCTGAAGTCGACCTGTGACTTTAGCCAGTCTGTGCACGAGCTCGTCAACGTAATTGCGAAAATATACACGATTAGGACAAACATGGAAAGGGCCCACAGGAGCTGCTTCACAGACTCTGCGACCATCAGGGCTAATGTGGCGAGCTGTTGGAAAAACCTGAACACTCGGAAAAGCCGAACCACTCTGATCATCTTCAAGATTTTGAGGCTGGACAGAGATGTCGAAGCACCACCAAGTAGAAGCAGGCAAATATCCAGCACGCTGACTCCCATGAGGAAAAGGTCACAAATGTTCCACCAGCGTGAATCATTCATGAAGAACTGGATGGGGCCCGCGTGATACATCCGGACGAACACTTCGAAAATAAACCACACTCCGAACAGAACGCTGCCCAACATGAAGGAGAGGTTGGGCTGAAGGTTCGATGAGGTGTACTGCACCTCCAAGCCTAGCAGGACGGAGTTGACCTCAAACGGGATAAGACAATCATGGATAGCACATCATTCTCCCGAACTTCTCACAACAGCGAACCGTGTCGGATGCTGTGGAGTTCTCGTCTGCTTCCATCCAGACTGGGGGTCGTGCTTACGTCTCACGGGCATTTGCAACGCACTCCATTCGACCCAGCCCCAGTCCCGAACGCACGACGCCGACCGGAGACTCAACGCCTGCCGAACACCCCCGCGGACCCCGCGTTGTCACTTAGGCGCCGGGTCATGCACCGCTAGTCCCTGCTGTTTACTATCCCGGTTGTAATGCTTTCGTTTATCACGCAGCGAATGAAAGACATGCGTAGCGCCTCGTGCACACGGCTGCAAAGAAACAGTACTGCGTGCTGAAACAGTTCGGGAGTTTCCATATACTCACAGTCTCCTACTCTATGCCCAAGATGAGCTGTCCACACCAACTCAGGCGACCGCGGCGATCAAGGCAGCTGCCTGAGCTCGGCAAGCAGAAAACAGCGGTCCGTCCCGTCCTACCTTCCCACACAATGCTGTTCCAGCTGTCCCGCCACCCGAATCCTGCGTCAATATCTGACCCCATCAAAAGCCGAGGCCGCAAGCAAAAGGTCAGCAGAAGGTACAGTGAAGTTATGCATCCGAGGAATCTAGCGAGACATGCGAAGCAGAGTGAAAACGGAAGAACAGTTCACGCCTCTTCATGTCCGATAAAGGCCTGCATTCAAGAGGCCGTGGCTTCAAACATCAGCCATCGAAGTTCGCTGTTTCCTGACCGGTCGTCCTGCGATGGCGCAGAAGGTCAATCAATGAAATTGAACACATTGAAGCGCACCTTTCGTTAAGCGGTCTTTTGCACTGGACTACGATATGGGCGACACAGCCCTCAGCGCGCGACCGTGTCGCGCCACAGCACGGAACATGCAACAACGACAGGGGAAGGCCCGCTTCCGTTCAAATCTCAGTGTCGTAAACTTGCAGTCAGACACGCTTGCTTGTCGCATACTTGGGATTTCAGCGGGTGAACTTCATTTCAGGTAAGCTTATTCGATCATTGCAGGGCCTTGGCCGATATTTATTCAGCGCCGGCACAGGTGTTGTAATTGTAGCAGACATTCCACGACTTTGAATCCGGAGACAACTCAATTGGGCCGGCTGCATATAGTTCTGCATCTTTTGCTTGAAAAGTCCCATCGCCAACCGAAGCGTCTGTCTCCTCTTCTGCCGACATTAAATGAATACATATGCATGCCTCCTTGAAGTTCTCCAATCTCGTCTGCGTTACCCTGTTATACTTTGCTTTGCTAGGAGTAAGAGGTGCCAGCAGGCCTGAAGCCCCGCGCTCCAGGCGCATCCCCATCCATCACGTTGACAGAGGGGCTCTGCTGTACGAGGGTGTGCTGGGCTGTCCAACACGGAAGGTTTGGTGTGCCCCCGTGGCATCAGAGAACATGGCATCAGGAGGGAAAAACATGCCTTAATTACCCCTGCCCTGCAGCACTTATGTCTGCTACGGGCACAACACTTTGAAGGTACAAGGAAAAGAACGAGCGCCCCCTTGAAGGTACGAATCAAACATTGAGGTGTAGTGCCGTTATCTTGCAGTGGGTGCCTGCTTTGGCTCACGTCCCTCATCCATTTTGGTTGCAATCGTCTCGACCCTCTGAGCAAGACTAAACACGGTTTTCCGATCGGGCTTGGTGCCCCTTCTCGCGAGCTGTCTGCTCGCCTACCTTCGTAGTGTACACGCTCCAAGCACAGAGGGCACACACGGGGCGACCAGACGCAGAGGGAACAGTGTTCCAGCAAAGAGGGCAAGCACGCCACCAAGCAGCAGAAAACGGCCCATAGGCGCAGGGGGCAGGAGGGCAAGGCATCAACAACAATCCAATGCAAATCCTGGACCGCACGGCTCAGCGGGTCATGCAGGAGGATTGATAGTCGCATGAAAACTTGCCCAGCATACTGGACCGTACCCCAAAGTGCAAGTGTGCAAACAAGCGTGGGTGCACTGTCAGCGAGTATCAGCGAGTCCTAGGCCGTCCTAAGCTCAGCCAGCGCACAATACCTCAGCAGTGGCCTCAACAGGGACCACCGAAAGGAGGCACAAGCAGGATCAAGCACGGTAATCAGGAGCTTTTCTTTTTGTGACGGTCTGGACAAGCATGCGCCTCTGACGAATTTTTACCACAGATTAGCAGCAGTAGTGGATAAAGTCAGCGTCGTCGTCGCACCACACAGGGACTCAATGTTCCTCGTCGGGCACTGTGCGGCACTGTCGCCCGAGTGCCACCGGGAGGGGGAAAAGGGGCGCTCCTCGAGTGATCCACGACTCTTAGTACCGCCCCGGAATTCCGCACCCTTGTCAGCATTAGCCCACCCAGCAAGGACAAGCACTAGTCCGGGGCTTTCTCCCCACACAAAAGTTTAGGCGAGTGTCCTGCGCCAGGGTTGACCCCACGACCTGGGACGTATTCCGTCTTTCTGGATTGCTGCACTGATGCTTATAGCACCATTCACCCTCGAAGATATATAACCAGGTTTGCCGAAGCCGCACTGGGAAAGCCACAGTCAGGATCTAAATCATGAAGCCGACGAGAGTTTGGACCTGGTATGACCTAATCCTCGTACGAGATCATGGGACGAGGCTTTGGACCCAAATCCTCGTACGCGAGCTTGGGACGAGGGTTTTTGCTGAAATCGTCGTCCGCGATCTCTGGACGAGTATTTTGGAAGATGATATTTCAGCAGGAGATACGCTCCACTGCTTCCTTCGTAAACTAATGATCCACTGCCGAGCAGTTTCACTCGGATCGGCGGAATCCTCCCGTAACTCTCGCCAAGCCTCCCTCCTGCTCCGAACCTCGCTTCCGCATTTGCCAATGCTTTCGTTTTGTTGGGCCAGATTATACAGATTGCAGAACTTGTGCAAGTCTGAGAAGCACCTCGAACTGGCACGGAACCTTTCTAGCTTCATGGCTCTCTGAAAGCTAAGGTCCTCTGAGTCCTCATCTCGGCCCATGGCCATTTTGAGAAGCTGCTCGACTCGTCTCATCGCCGAATTGTTTCGCGATGACTCGAGTTTGGCACGTGCGTGCTCCAATCTCTTGTTGATGTTGAAATCGTCGCTGATCCCGTCTACATGCGCATCCGCTTTCACCAAATGCGTAAAACCTCAGCTTTGAGCAAGGACATGAAAGAACTTCGGAAGGTAATGCCTTGCTGCCTTGCCAAAGCCTAAACTCCGAGATATTCCGACAGCTGTAATTTCCTTTAAGCTTCGACATCCGACTCATGAACTTGAGACCGACTGCTTCGATCTAGCTTCGCGCCTGTTGATGCGAAGACGACAACTTTTGCAATATAGGTCCAGAACGCCGCAATCAGAGGTCTGTCACTCGGTCTGTCCCTGTGTCTAACGGATGGTCTCTACATTTTCGAGTCTTGACATTTGGGATCATTTGGGCTTAGAGCTTCGGCACTGGGGTGTGTTTCAGTGTCGAGTGTTACTGGTAGCTGTACAGCAGTAGCTCGCTGTTTAGGTAGGCCTTCTGGCCTTTGGATTCTTTAGCTCTGTTTATGCAAGATGTAACTTGCAACAGCCTCAGCAATCTCAAAGATGCTAAGTTCCGTGAAAGTGATGGGACTAGTAAGACGAGTGAATGATTTGATAAAGGCGAGGAGCCCGAATGCGCATGAAACACGCGATTGCCACCAGCTATTGAAGATTATGAAAAGCATCACCCCTACTGCTGACACCGTTGGGTGCATAATGCCCTCGAAACAACGCAAGGGGTCGAGGACGAATATTGATTGCTTTGATTGCTAGCACCTCGCATCACCCCGCTCACCGCTCCCAGCCCACTCCCCACCGCGTCAACCGTCAACAGCAGAGGAAACTACGCTGTCTCTGTGTCAGCCTCATTCCTCTGACCCAGAGAAGCGGTGTGCCAGCACATCCTGATGAACACGGAATTTTCTCGCTGTGTATCTCTCTCCTCTGCTCCGACCACGAACAGAAAGTGTGTTCGACTCCGTGCATCTGAAATGCGGCTCTTGGCGTTCGTGGTCACTGCATGCTCGACTGCCTCCTCTGGTTTCGCTGCTGGCTCCTCTGCTGGCTCCTCTGCCGGCTCCTTAGTGTCAGCACCCAGCTGCGCAAGCCAGCCTCGGCCTTCAGCCACAAAGGCAAGAGCCCTCTTCTTCAGCTGCACGTCAATTGGAACCGAAGTCTCGTCCTCGTACATCCCTTGCTTCGGCTTTCGGGATGATTTCATCTTCTTTTTTCTTGCTGCGGTGGTTTTGGCCTGTCAGACTGCCCAGATGCACATCTACTCAATTGAAACGGAACGCGCTGCATGCTGGCAAACCAAGCTTGCATGAAGACTAACGCAGAGAACGTGGCCTGAAAGCGTGCATCAATTTCGCGGGTTAGCCTTTCCTTAGAAGTGGTAATTTCACTGCAGATTCCTGCAGGATAGTTTCGCGGCGATGCCTCAACCAAGCTGAAGGAAACCAAGCTTCCACTTCTGTCTCCAGCTGCTTTCGCAGCATCAGATGTACTTCCAGATCCTGCGAGTGCCAAATCTTGCAGCAATGATTAGGACGATGAGGGATTGGGGCTCCGTGCCCAACTTTCCTGAAAGTGACTTCTTTCCAAGACTACGAGCTGGTCAATCAGCTCGGCTTGGGAGGATTTCACCTGGACTGCCAGATTCTCTCAAGCCTCGACATTGACTTGGCCCACCTGCTGCAAAGCCGTAATGAAAAGCCCCTCTGGAGCACTCGGGCCTGCCAATGGCTTGCAATTCTACGCAGCTACATAAACAGCACGCGCACGCAGTGGCTGTCAGTCGGCATGCCCTGTCAAACCATCAATCCCGTTCCAAGCATCCCCATGCTTGCAGTGAGGGTATGCTATGCCCATTCCGCCTTCATCCCCGTTCTGTTCATCGTGGTCGTGCTTCTCTGCGATCGACATGTTCGGCTCCGAACAACACACGTGCTCGCACTTGTCTCGTTGTACACAGCTGGGTGCGTGAGGCTACAGCAGGCTGTGGCATCTGCACAAACGACCTTCGCCCTTGCTTGCTTCCACCTTCGCCCTCTTTCTTTCGTCTCTCTCTCTCTCTCTCTGCTAGGAGCTTTGTGCCGAACACTGCCTTCAGAATTGTGCTAACTGGAAACCTGCAGAAACATGCCTTGACTCCTTGCCTTTATAGGAACGTTGAAGACCGCTGGCCGTGGCTGCAAATGTTCCAAATTCTCGCGTTTCGGAGTCGTATCGCGGATTGTTGTGGCTTGCAGCTGCATATAAGCATCAGAACATATCAGAACTCCCTGTCGGGTGGACCAGAACGCGAGGGAGCTGCTGCCCATGACGGCCTTTGCAAGGTTCTCAGAATCACAGAACTTGAGCATGCGCCCAAAGCGCTGTGCAAAAATCTCCTAAAACTTCCAAGTAACCAGGTGATGGCTGGGGTCACAGGATGTTCCTGTTTCCAAGTCATTTGGTAGCACGGGCGCTGAAGGACTACTAAACTCGCGCAAGCCTTACTTAGCGTGTTCTCCTTCCATAAGGGCACTTGATTCTCCAAGTTCGGACACAGCACAGCCTTCGGGGGCCATTCCGTGACGGGACCTTGCAAGCTGGTACCACAAATCGCCAAAGGTAGCTGCAAGAAAGGCGCAGGCCCCACGTTTTGCCCCCGTTCGTGTTGGTTGGGCTGTCAGTTGCGTTAGCTGACCCCGACTCCCTTTTTTGATGCTTCCTCGTTTTGCAACCTTCTCTGCTTTGCTCTGCCATGCGCCTACTTCCCGAGTTGTTGATGCCTTCTGCTGTTGCTGCGGGTGTTTTTTGTGTGTTAGGTCGATGTTGCGTGCGTTTTGCTTTGCTTGTTTTGTGTTTTCAGCGTTTGTGTCCGGATTTTCTGCCTTCATTTCTGACTTCTGCAGTGTTGCCTAACTTTCTCTGTTTTACTCCGTTCTCGTTGTGGTGAAAGCAGAGGTCCATGGAATCCGTTGAGAACAGAGCATCCATGAATATCCATGGCCCAACCATGACGACATTTGTCACCCACATAGCACACTTGTAGCAGCTCCGCGGTGCGATGGGGCCGGCAGCCATAGTTATAGACTACGAGCGCATGCACCCAATTCTCCCGTACACTCGCCATCACTGCCAGTTTTCAGCCGGACCCCTCAAAATTGAACCAAAAAAGTCGAACACAAAAGCCCAATCCCAGGCCTCTCCTAAAGGGGGCTGGGTTCTACATCATGACATATTCATTACATTATTCAATTAACTTGACCAAGACGCCCCGGCCTCCGGCCTCGGCGGATCTACAGGACTTCCGCTCTTTAAGAGCTTGCTTAATCTTGGAATCTTGGAGAACAAAAACACAAACTAGTTTATGCGTGCAGAGAAGGACTCCACTATGTTGCAAACCGGGTGTCATGGCCAGCTTGACAGTCGTTTGATGGAACTGGGTGCTAGTGTCGGTGGTGGCTTACCGTTTCAGGCTCGTTGTAGGAGGCACTGGCTGGGGAAGCGAGAAGGTCAGGACGATTCGTACTGAACTGTGATTTGAGAGGCGCGGGAAGCAAGAAGGTACAGTACATGGCATCGCTACTCACTGCGTGTGTGCCGGCGGAAAGGAAGAAGGCAGCCGCCTTGTATACCAGCATTAGGGTTGGGCCATCGATTCAGATGGTCGTCATCATGTTTGGGCCATGGATGCTCTGTCCTCAGAACAGATTAAACCATGGACGTCGGCAGGCTTTCCGCAGCAGGAGTATGCAGTCTTCTGCTGTCCACGTGAGCCAGGTCTAGTGTATCCAGTCAGACGTTTGGCGCTGTCCCTAGTGAGTAGTGTCAGTGCTGCAAATACGTATGCTTCGAATCAGGCTGCGACTCTCCAGCATATCGCATTGAGTCAAGCTTTACTTGACTGTTTGGTGTTGTTGTAGTTTGTAGACCGTATTTCCCTTGCCGTTTTTGGTGCACTGCTGCATGCAACTGTGAACTCTGGAATTCATGAACATTTGATATCACAAACTGAGGCTGGTCTGGAGTATGTCGTGGGCTTTGTTGGTTCATGTGTTGGCGAGCCCTTACATGGTTGCCTTGCTCAGTTTGGCATCTCTCAGATGGATTTCCCCCCTCTCGCATTCAATCTGTAGAGTACTCAGAGTCAGAGTGCCATACACGCAAGCATTCATCCAAGAAAAGCCACCCATCCAAGGAGACAAAACAGTCACAGCGTCATTCGGCAGAGTTTTCATATTCGTTGTACAGACAGCTACACTTGCCAATGATTGGCGTTTGGTTGTACTTCCCTGCATGGGAATAAATAGTGTGCATCCGTGGCTACGGTGGGATTTTGCTCGCAACAGTCGACCGAAGTTCTCTGAAACCTCTCGAGAGTTCCTGGGAAGTCTGCCCGGGGTACTCGCCGACCCCTCAGGTTTGGGTGGCTTTGGCTCGTTGCCGAGTGCGGGGCTATGTTTCAAGCTGTCCACTGCCATCCCATGTGTGATTGGACTCCTTGTGGGCCTTTTCGGGTGCTTTGGGGGGGTCTTTCCAGGAGTTTGGGCTTGGATCCTAGAAGCGGTTTTCGCTCGCCGGGCCCCCCCCCTTGCGGCCGGCCGCCCAGCATTTTGACAGGGTCTTTTCCGCCTTATTGGGCTTCAATTTAAGGAGGTTTACTTGGGATGTTCTGTTTATCTACTTTACGGCACGGAAGCGGCTGGCTTCAGTTTAAGCTCATGGCTTTTTTTTGACCCCGTGGCCGTCCCCGAGGTGGCTCTCATGCTACAAGTAGCAGAAAGGCGGCAAGTCAGCCTGCTACGTCTAAGAGCGACGTGTGCTGCCACTTGGCACTTCGCAATGATACGTCGTAATGATGCCTTCCCTGGGCTTCCGCCATCCCCATTGCGGGTTCCATGGATTCCTTCCTGCAGCATGGCGATGGAATCCCCAGACGACAACGGCACCTACACTCAAGATCTATTTCGTCGAGTTTCGCAGCTACCCGAGCAAAGCAACTTCCCCCCTTCCAACGATATTTTCCGGGGTGCGCAGTCGGGCAGAGGCGAGTGTCGAACTACGTGTAGAGTGTAGGGTTTTGCTGCTTTGAAGTGAATCGCATGATGACTGTGCGATGTCTGCATGTGGGCGATCCCCATCCACCCTGCAATACAAGCTGGGAGACAACAGACCGTCTTTTGATTGAAGTGGACACCCTGCTTTCGCACGAACTGTCAGAACACCAGCACGGAGAATGAAAGACACTAGCAGCTTGAGTGGGCACACACAATTGTCCAGTTTTGCGATTGCATCGCCTGCCAAGAATACACAAGCAGCACTTGCTGCCGGTCTGTTGAGATTTGGGAAGGCATGCAAATTTCGAGCAGCCAGTCAAGTGAAACAGCACATCTGCACTCGCAGCATCCGAACTATCAGCCCTTAGCAGCCTTAGCTTAGTATGCTTAGTTGATCTGAAGCTAGTCGGGTCAGCTGACTCCGCAGCAGCAGGCATCAAATTGTTCGAGGATGCTGGGATCCAGAACCCCTGTACCTTGCGCACCTTGCGCTTTGAGCTTATGGCCTAAAACTGAAACCTGGCCCGGTCACTTTGCTTGGTTGGAAAACCTGGGTGGGCTTGCAGCAACAGCAAGTGCTAATCTGCCTGATCGCCTCGCAATGTAAGTAAGCATGGCACAACGCAACTGCTTTCAGCACGTTGCAGTCAAGAGAGCCTGGAATCGCAGAGTCTCGTGGCAGGAGCTTGGTGGACATGCTGACTGAAAACGGGAGCAAGTCGAATGGTGAAAGTTGCTTCGGTGAGCAGTCGTACTTACCGCTAACCAGCCTCGTGTCTCAAATGAAAGTCTGCAAAGGCCACTGAAAGGTGATTCTTGAGACCCGCGCTTTCAATCAACATCCTCCGAACTTTAGATTTAGGAGGATGTCTCGGAGGCCTGCAACAGAAACTCGGACTTCACGCTTGAGCCTAAGGCTTGAAGCGATGAAACATCTTGGCAGCCGCTGCCTGGACCTCCACATCCTCATCAATCTGCAATGGGTTGTGTTTAATAGGCTCCTACCGGTGGGCGGGATGCTTGTCCTGCGGCTTCTCTTTCCCCTTCGCCTGGCAAGTTCTGCTGCTGCACAAAATGATGATAAGCGTGTTGACATTGTCAGTGCTTGTCCGCCTGCGGGGGTCGTACCCACACGGTAACATGGCCGTCCCCCGCCTGCGTTTTGGAACAGGTGCCGTGGGATTCCGTGCTGGGGACAGCTGAGACGAGTGCAACCCAGTGGAGCTGCGCAGAAGTACTCCTGGCAGGACATCACCAATATGAGCCTTACCACATTGCACATGGGGACAGCCCAGCGAACTTGACAACCTCGACGAAAAGCTGCAAATTTACGATGTTGACATGGACATTCAACCTATGCACCAATACAACCCTGTCCAGGAAGGATCCAGGATCGAGTGCCCGCATTGCCACCCTCCACCCAGCCTCGCCAGCGAATCATCCAAATTCTACCGCAAATACACAATTGCTTGTGCGATCTTGTGCGTATATAGATCGGGTTAACAAACAAACAAACAAACAAACAAACAAACAAACAAACAAACAAACAAATATACAAATATACAAACATACAAACATACATACAT